ATAATTTGAAAGAAGATATAAAAATAGCAAGATTGTCTATGTGTGATCATATAATGCAGTTTAGTAATGAATTAATATTGAAAACAGGTGATTGTTCCGTGCGTGTGCTAGTTTGTGTCCGGCTAGTTGCGGCGTCTATTGATACATCAGCGCCGCACGCACCCCACGCGCTCTGCTCTTGCTTATTGTTCACATTCAGATCGTATTTATCGCTCGGTATAATATGCATTATCTGAAGACATTATAACTTTACTATTAAAAACGTTATTATAATATTTTTTTAGTTGTACCATATTTAAAAAAGGAATGAAACACGCGTACAGGTGGAGTCCATTAGTTTAATACGTTCGATCATCTTATTATCAATATCCCGAGCAGGGTTGCATTTATGGCATCGTCGGTCTTAAAATTCTTCAAAAACTCGTTTTGGTATTATTAACTCAAAATAAAATACGCTTAACTCTAAGATATCAGAAGTGTAAGTGCACCGAGCATCAACACACGAGCACTGAGGCGATATTACAGTTTAGTAATTGATCGCTTGTATGATGCATTAAGCGGCAGTAAAACGTATTTATAAGTACGTTGAAGGAAGGATAAAGGTGTGGAGGTGGCGGCGGCCGCGGCTAGCGCGTGTTGCTTCAGGTCGCGGGTAAACATCATTATAATACCGAATACATTTATCGAGATCACGATACGAAAACGCAGCAGAGAGCGATACACACGTACGGCACGGTGGGCCGGCCGGACTGCACCACCGACACTAGCAGTAGCAACGTGCCGCCTCGTCACCGCCTCCCAACCTCTTCGAGCCGCGGCTCCAAGGTCGCAACTGCATTAATTACATTATGACACCTGTCACCCCCCGCACCCCTCCCTCCGTCATAAACGACGTGCTAATTTTATAATACGCTTATTATCATTGATGTCATTATTTTTTAATTAATTTTATATCAGAAATTATAATACGTAGCCTAATCATATATACATACTAGCTGTGCCCGCGACTCCGTCCGCGTGGAATAGTGACTTTGGGCAGCAGTTTTAGGACATATCTTTTGGTTTATAAGCACCGTCATTTGGGTATTTAGAAAAATCTAATTTAAAGTAATGCTTCTCTATACACGACATAGACGTAGCCATCGGGGATCAAAGCATACAGGTTGCTAGGATTGCTAACATGTGACAGAGCTACATAACCGTGTGACCGAGTTGACTGTGTGAAAAGCAGTTAACACTTATATCTACACCCACAACTTTTAGCGTTTGACCTTGGGCTTTATTTATTATCATCACGAAGCATAGGCTCGCTGGAAACGCGATCGGTAGTGAGTTGTGCTTCCTGTTATTTTAGTGTCTCCCGAAACCGGGCAAGCTTTTGCTGTCCGAACCCTCTGAGAGCTCAGACGGATTTCCCTATCAGTAAAGGTCTCAGACTCAAGCGATAGTGCATGAGCCTCGCAATCGGCAGAGAGACGTGCTTCTCGTTCTTCAAGTGTCTCCTGAGACCAGGTAATTGCTGTCCGAGCCCTCTGAAAGCTCAGACGGATTTCCCTATTAGTAAAGGTCTCAGACTCAAGCGATAGTGCATGCGCCTCGCGATCGGCAGTGAGACGTGTTTCTCGTTCTTCAAGTGTCTCCTAAAACCGGGCATTTGCTGTCCAAACCCTCTAAGGAGCTCAGGCGGGATTCCCTATCAGTGAAAGTCTCAGACTCACGCGATAGTGTATAAGATTCACGATCTANAAGCTCAGACGGATTTCCCTATTAGTAAAGGTCTCAGACTCAAGCGATAGTGCATGCGCCTCGCGATCGGCAGTGAGACGTGTTTCTCGTTCTTCAAGTGTCTCCTAAAACCGGGCATTTGCTGTCCAAACCCTCTAAGGAGCTCAGGCGGGATTCCCTATCAGTGAAAGTCTCAGACTCACGCGATAGTGTATAAGATTCACGATCTATGGACAAGCTTGCGTCACGCTGTTCCCTGTTCACCCTAATTCGAGTGGTCTTTTTTTGAGAACAATGTGAACTCAATCGAGATTCTCGCTGAGCCGAAGTTTCTCTAACACGAAACCTCGCCTGACGTTCCTGAGATGTAATGAGTATTGCCTCATGACCTGCTTCAGATTCCTGTGATCGAACTAATTTCATCCTTTTAGCATTGCTGCTGCACTGGGAGAGGTTGGATCTTTTTCGAGGCATTCTTACAATAAGTAGTACCTACTAACACAACGTTGTTTGGTAAACACGTACTTATCATAAAACTAAATTATAAATACTTACAGATTATTATACAGTTTAACTTTATTACAATTTTTTAATTATTAATAACTATGAAGCCGTGTCAACCTAATCTTTTAACTATAGAAAGCAAACGTGCCTCTGGGTTAATTTACTCGTCGAACCCTCGGCGCGGCATCGGCGCGCTTTGTATACCCGCGCGGCTGCACAGACGTAATCATTCCGATAGAGGCACCCGTCACGTGCGGACGTGCTCATCGACCACTCGATCGCCCGGCCTTTGTTCGCCCGGCTTTTGTTAGCCCGGCCATTGTTCGCGCGGCCTGTGTTCGTGGTACATCTGCCGACCAAGTGTTTTTCCAGGAAGTTTTTATTTGTTTTGTTTCCTTTTGTTATTTCTGTGTTCGTGGTACATCTGCCGACAAACTGTTTTCTTGGAAGTGTTTAATTGTTTTGTTTCTTTTCGTTATTTCTGTTTTATTATGTTTTTTCTTTGTCCTGTAGTAATCGCGCCGCATCGCCACCTGTGTTCAATAGAACCGCTCAGTTCCGAGAAGTTGGGGCCTTCAAGGCCGATCACACCGCGAGCCCTCTCGTGGACTCCGCCGAGCTCGCTGCTCCTGCGTCGCCTGTACCTGCGTGCATATAAGTTTCCACACGTATACGCTCCAGGAGGAGCGCGAACTCCGTGCCGTTATACGTGGCATCCCTAAAGAGTTGGATGCCGAGCTCGTCAAGGCCGACCTTCTCGAACAAGGCCTACCGGTTAACTCCGTACACCGCATGCACGCAGGCCGCGGAAGGGAGCCATATAATATGGTTCTCGTCACCCTCCAGCCTATCCCCGAGGGTAAGCAAATATTCAACATCCGAACGGTCTGTAGCCTTTCCGGAATCGCAGTCGAAACCCCACACAAGAAAGGCACACCTAGCCAGTGCCATAACTGCCAATTATACGGGCATTCTTCCCGTAACTGTCACTCGCGCCCCCGATGCGTCAAGTGCTTAGGCGATCACGCCACGGCCCTATGCATTCGCGATCAAAAAACCGCGACGGAACCGCCTAGCTGCGTCCTGTGTCGAACACAGGGTCACCCCGCAAATTACCGCGGATGCCCCCGAGCCCCTAAAATAAATCGCCGCGTCGCCCGCCAAAACCGCCTCCGAGCTTCCGGCCCAGACATCAAAGCCTCGGCACCCTCTGTGTCGCAGGCTAAGCCAGCGTTCGTTCCGGCGNCGGCGTTTGTGATGCTGAAAAAATGTGTTGGTGATTGCGAGGCTGTTTCCGACGCAGAACTCCAGGAATCGTTCACCTCTATCGTTACGCGTTCCGAGTCCATAGTGCCCCACAGTTTTCCGCAGATGATCGTCTCTGCTAGTGTCGCCAATTTTCGCATTCCAGTCACCCTGCACGAAAAGCATTTCACGGCGTGGTAAAGCATTAATGCAGTCTTCCAGTGTTCCATAAAAACTGTCGATTTCTTCTTCTGAAGACTGAGCCGTTGGTGCATATACTTGGACAATATTTATATGTAGCGGATTTCCTCTAAGTTTAATAGTCATAATACGATCACTGATAGCGTTGTATCCAAGGACCGCATATTTAAACGTCTGTGAAACTATGATGGCCACCCCGTTCTGGCTTTTACTTTCGTGACCTGAGAAGTAGAATGTATTTCCTTCCGCCATTGTGAAATGTCCTGAGCCCTTGACATGTGTTTCTGACAGTCCAAGTATAGTCAACCGACGAGTGATCATCTCCTTTTCGACGATTTCCAGTTTTCCCTCCTGTACTAGACCTCTTACATTCCATGCTCCAATTCGGTGTGGATGTCGGGTCGGAAGCTTTCTCTTATGGTCATCAGTAGCATTTGTAGTCGTCCGGGCCTGATGCCGAGCCCGTACGGTGCCTTCGGTAGCCAATTTCACACGCGATGACCCGGGTATCACCGAGCGCCGATTGTCAGTCGGATCATCCGACCTCGCATATTCATTTACTGTACTCATCATTTAAGGTCGGGACATTCTCTAGGGAGATAGTCGTAGTGGTTTCCCCTTGCCTTCTACGCCAGGTTTTTTTGAAGATTTTTAGTTCTTCTAGGCCCCTGTAGCCTCTCCAAAGTGAGTTTCCCCAGTTTGGAGGTCGGGTTATCAGAATCCGCCGCCCGAAACTCGGCGTTGTCAAGCTCGTTTTGCACCACCCGGAGGACACGTGCAGGGTATTGAAGGTATTTCCTGCGGACGCGAGCGACTCCATCCTCCATTAAGTACATGTATTTTCTACATGGATACCATGTTTCAAGTCAATCGGATGCATGGTTTAGTAGTTATAACGGAACATCCGGAAAAACCACTGTAGATTTATATAGTTATATTAGTAGGTCAGATCACACTGCAGATGTGAGATAGAGTAGAGATTGTGGATATTCTTAAACTGGTCGGCTTGTTTATTTTAACTGACATGGCTTGAGATCACTTGTTTCTCTTTTATCTAAACATTGATATTATTTTATTGGTTGTGGAAAAGTTAAAGGCGCTTAAAATTTGCAAGTTTGATTTTTACTACACAAAGCTCTTTGTGTAGTAATTGTGTGTGCTCTGATTGTACGTAGAAAAATATTAGGATCTGAATTCCGGTACAATCAGCGGATACAAATAGACAGGATGTCAGGAAGAAATCAATATCCCTACATAAAAATAGACTAGTCTCTATGATATTGTGGATAAAATAATGTTCATTTAATTTTCTTTCTTTTTCACAGGATTCCTCAACCCTAGATCCGATGACTACCCTCGGTCGCCAGCCAACTATGGTCTCATGGACCAAATTGCCGCCTTGCACTGGATCAAGGAAAACGTGGCGGTTTTTGGTGGAGATCCTACTAACGTCACTCTAATGGGACACGGTACCGGGGCTGCCTGCGTCCATTTCCTGCTCACTTCTTTAGCTGTGCCTGAAGGCGAGTTTCATGAATTTTTTAATGATTTTAACTTTAAGATTCCGGGGCTCGGAATACTGCGGATAGGGAGGAATAAATTCTCATAGATGTGGCCTTGTACTAGTCTCAATTTTACAATACCGCTTCATTTCGGCATCAATCATAGTTGTGGATAATAAATTAAATCGCACCTTCGGCCAAATATACTCCATATTATTTCAAACCTTTTATTCTTCACCTTCATTTTATTCATCACCTTCAATACCTTGGACATCTTTTTCAGCTACTGTCTGTTTTGCAGATGTCCAACACGAGATTTAATTAATTTCAATTTTAATTTAATCATATTGGTCGTCTGACCCTACTACATCTTAATTTATTCAGGGGCAATTTTAATTCCCAACAGTAAACATAAAAATTTGACGTTAAATTTGAAAATGGCTGATTGGTGAATCTTTATTTCTATAATAGAAGGTCTAGAGTTTAAAAATACACTCAAACAAATTTAAACGCATATGTTGTTAATAAAGCCACATTAGTAGGATGTGCAATGTTTTCCATCTTGTTGTACAACACGTCACCGCATGTTTCGAAAGTCTCACACATAACAACTTTATCGCTCCAACTCACACTAAGGCTTGTCGTTTTATGGATAGGACGATGTTTGCGCCTAACCCGTAACATAGTAGACAAACGTTTGGTAGCGAGCCAAAAGGACTTATCGCGGAACCCGCATCTTTTAATAAAACGAAGCCGGTTCGAAAATGTGTCCGTGGTTTCTTAATACTCTTCTATAGATAAAGGTCGAAAATGCTTTTCGAAAAAAGAAATAATATCAATAGATTTTTTTTGGAACGAAGTTCCTTATGGGACGATGCGAAGGGGTACCCTAACTGGGACGTCCGTAACGTAAGATTTTTATTATCTATGTATAGCCTTAGTATGATGGCTATACAGTGTCTAAAGTATAGTCTACGTGATGACGGTTTTTATTATTGACCTTTTAGCATGTTTGAGATTCGATATCCCCATTTCAGCCGAAATCGAAATCGTGCCGCATGCCTTCAGGGCTATCTCAACCATTAACGACCTCATGACCGTTTGTTCTAGCACATCACAAACATGATCCTCAATAAACTTTGTCGACCTTTAGATATTAGCTTTCAGTTCTGTTTATGTTTACTTTAAACACAAAAGTAACAACATTTAATATTGCTCGCAGGCGTTTTTGGTATCAGTTTGTTTCGATACTATGGAGTCGGCTTATTTTTGTTGTATAAGCCAGAGTTTCGTAGTTACGAGAGATTTTTCAATAAGCTAGTGGTCGTCCAGTGATCGAAATTCGACCGTAATTAATTTAAATTATAAGTTTGAGCATTATTATAGTTCTATTGTCGCATTTTTGGAGTTTACTCCTTAAGAATCGATTTACATATATAGGCCCGGGGTATGAAAATTATGGGGACCAAAATCGTACTAGAGAGTATAGCATGTCACACGAAATGCGTTATGCGCCTGATTGGCCATGGTGATGCGTGCGCGCGCCAATCAGGAGCCAACGCGCGGCCGCGTTATCGCAGGTGACGCCGGGCTGCTGCGCCGGCAGTCCGCCACAAAGCCTCGTACTGATCGCGCGTTTCTCTCATTATTGTATTTTCATATATTTGTTAGTCGTTTGTTTTGTGTCTCGTTAATTTGTTAATAATCTGTAGTGTATCGTGTTGTCGTAATATAGAACTATTTCTCGTATTGTTTCGTTTAATTTACCGACATCGTTTTGCTTGTGGCCGGACGCCGTTCGGGTTCGATTCCTGAACGTATCAACTGTTAGTGGGTTGATACCCGAATATAACCCGCTACAAATCATTTATTAATAAAGCTTATTAAATATAAACAATTCCTTCTATCAGTGAATGGACAACTTATATATTAATTGTAAAAGTGAATTATATAGACTTACTTAATTACCGCATCCACGTGTTCCGCAACTCCCGGATCATTCTCACTAGAATACGTAACTTCCATATTTTACTGTATTCAACTGACACAAATTTATATTTATATCCAGTAAACTCCAGTCGTGCGTCGGAGCGGACACACACACTTTTTTATTATAATCATTGTTCTATTATCAGAGATTTCGCCAAGGCTATACTATAGACAAACAATATTAATATATTCTCAATTTGACCACAGACTGATAAACAATACACCAAAGAGTATAAATACATGTGTGTGTGTCAAATACATGGTAGTGTGTGTATTGTTTTTTATTGATTTAATGTATTGTTAATATTGCTTGTATTGCTTATTCTTATTAATGTGTAAAGAAACAAAATCATTATTACATTACATTGTGTATTATGGAAACGTATATATGTATGCTACTTGTGTGTATGTGTATGTATATATATTTAAATCGATAGGCACACCGCGTGTAATTCGTGTCCAAATGATTCTTGTCCACCTGATGGTTGTCTGGAAGAAATCGTTCTTAGCGATAAGACCACCCATTGTACTTTTTTTGTATTTAAAGTTTCGCATTGTTCTTTTTTTTGGTTTACAATAAAGAATACACTCTCTTATTTATACATAATTTAAAAAAGACAGCATTTTGCACTACTCTATATTATTTTTAACGGTAGGCAGCGCCTTGGCTCTGTCCCAGGTATTGCTAAAGTCCATGGGCGACGGTAACCACTCACCATCAGGTGGCCCGTACACTCGTCTGCCTACACGGACCATAAAAAAAACCATCAATTGTACTTTTTTTGTATTCAATGTTTCGCATTGTTTTTCTTTTGGTGTACAATAAAGAATACACTCTTTCTATTTATACATAATTTAGAAAAAATCCAGCATTCTTTATAAATGTGGAAAATTTCATACTTCTCCGTCTGCGCAATTTCTGTAAAAAGGTGTACAAAGTTTTAGCTCAGCGTATTAATGTACAGATAACGATAAAAGTAGAAAAATTGATTTAACTTTTTGTGAACTTTGGTAATCTCTAACTTACGAACTGTACTGAAATGATTACATTGGTTATATATTAATTTTTATGACGATTAAGTGCCCAAAGTCTGCCACTTAGACCTTTTCACGGTTCAACTATATCCATCACATTTACACTCACAGAATAGTCGCTTTCAATCCAATTTAATCTGTCTGCATTTTTCTCGTCTTTTAATTCTTTTAAACTATCATTAATGAGAATTTGAATTGATCATTGAAACCAAACTTTAAAGAAAACCTTTTAGACATCATTGACCTTTGTCAATAATTCGTTTGTTTTGATAAGTCTAGGTAGCGTTCAGATTTTATGGGTCATTGAAAGTTGGGCTGTTGTTATTTTAACTGGCCTGTTAATCTTTATTTACGTAAACTTGTAACGTTTGTTGGATCAACATAAAAAATACTTGTTACTGAAAAGCTACTTGTTGTGACACAATTTTATGAAAAACTAACTGACCCGGCAGACTTCGTAGTGTCTCAATCGATAAATAAAAGACCTAAACTTTTGTATAAAATAAACTTAAAACAAACAAAAGGAATCCGTCCGACGGAAGACAAATTAAAGGAAAAACAAAATTGTTATTTTTATTTAATTCCAAGCATTTTCATATTTATCTACCTTTTAAACCTTCTCTGGACTTCCACAAATAAAATTCAAGATCAAAATTAGCCAAATCGGTCCAGCCCTTCTCGAGTTTTAGCGAGACTAACGAACAGCAATTAATTTTTATATATACCTATAGTATATATAGATTGTGTATAGATAGTGTTGAGAATTTATGTTCTAATATATAAACTAGCGCTAATTGTGACTCTGTATCAATTCAGTAGTGCGGACGTGCCGATCCGTTGGTCGCTTGCGATTTGCGTCTCGGAGTCCATTTTGTGCGCTAAAGTTTTGTAACCGCGACCCCACCCTTTACCAACTGCCTTTTTCAAGGCAAAACCAATCGCTACGATCAGGCTTCCTGTGGCACTCACAGGCTAGCGATTTCCTAACCCTTCCCAAAAACAACAGTCTTTTTCAAGACTAGACCCCCGCTCGCGATTCTGCCTGCTGTAGCACTATACAGCCCGAGCGGGTTCCTTTCCTTTTCCCCGCCGATTGCCGTTTTCACGGCATAGGCATTCCCCCCCCCTGCTCCTTGCTGTCCTGCAGCACAGGGGGGTTACAAATCCTATCCGGGGCCTCGCCTTTCGGCGAGTTCAACAAAAGTCCCGGGGCCGCCCCCCCCGGGCAAGAAGACCGAAGCAAGCATGGAAGACAATAGTGAAAGTGTTAGTGTCAGTGACAGTGATTTTGTCGGGTTCCTCCGGGAAAGGTACCCGACAATTAGGGCCGAGTATCTTAGGTATAGGGCCTCTCGTGGCAATCCCTCCCCCCCCGCGTCCGTCGCCGCGTTTCTCAACCGTGCCTCGGAGGCACGCCGCGCGCCCCCCGCCGCCGCGTTAATATAATAAATTTGTAATTTTGCAAAATAGTAAATTTGAAATTAAAAACGAAAATAGCCAGCTAGCGCACGCTTCACACTAAGATATTATTTTTGGATGACAGTTTTTGCTATTCATCGACACCGTCTATCTTGGTTTTCAATAGCTATTCCTTCACACCCTATAGAACACGTAAATTCAAAGAAATATCACTTGAATTACTTAGCGCGTAACTTGAAAGTTCAAACATCAATTTTCAGCAACGGTTAAACATCTCGGCAACTTTCCGATGAGGCCGTTAAGGCAGGCACACGTCGATAACTTAATTATAACTTAGAGTTAACTTAAAGTCAAGTTCGGTCCCAAGATAATTTTACTTGGTAAACTGTCATCAGGTACGGTAGAAGGTAATTTTACATTTTAGTATGATGCTGATAATTTGATGGCTTTGATGGCTCATTTTTTTCAATTCTTTCAAACAGAATAAACTAGGTGGCCCGGCAAACGTTGTTTTGCCATATAAATTATTTCTAGGAAAGATAAATAACATAGATACCGACTGCAGTGCCATCTGCCGGGCTGATTTGTGAATCTAAGCCACCAGGGTGCCACCCAAACGCATAAAAAAAAAACATTCAAATCGGTCCAGCCGTTTAGGAGGAGTTCAGTGATAAACACACGCACAGAAGAAATATATATATCTATAACGATAAGTATGAAGTAGGTACTAGTTTTGACGCGTCTATGAGCACAGACAAATTGTTTTGACCGCTCTATAATTTTCTTTTGCCATTAACGCACGCAATAAACAATTCGGGTTTACCAGAGGTCGCTCTACAACTGATGCAGGTGCTTATCTAGTTAAATATATTTTTAAATCTTGGGAGGAATCGCATTCTTGTCTTGGAATTTTCTGTGACTTATCCAAAGCATTTGACTGTGTTGAACATGAAACATTGGTGAGGAAACTACATCACTATGGTATTAGGGATGGTGCATTGGAACTTATTACTTCCTATTTATCAGGACGGATACAAACAGTAGATGTGAAAGATAATAGATCTTCAGGCACCTTGTTGAAAATGGGTGTACCTCAGGGTTCCATTTTGGGTCCTTTTTTATTTCTAATATATATAAACGATTTACCTAGTTTTATTGAGTCCCGACACGAGGTCGTATTATTCGCAGATGATACATCTTTATTATTTAAAATTAAACGACAATTACAAGTCTATGACGAAGTGAATGATGCGATTTCGTGTGTGGTTCATTGGTTCCGTATCAATAACCTATTATTGAATAGTAAGAAAACTAAATGTATTAAATTTACTTTAAAATGTATTAAACCATCTTTAAATGTGAGACAAGTGGATAGTGATGTAATTGTTTCTGAGGAATCATTGGAGCTTGTTGAGTCAACCGTATTTCTTGGTATAACAGTGGACTCCAAACTGCAGTGTGGACCTCATATTCATAAATTGGCGAGTAAGCTCAGCTCTGCAGTATACGCAGTAAAAAAAATTAGAATGTTAACAAACGCGGACACGGCTCGTTTAATTTACTTTAGTTACTTCCACAGTGTCATGTCCTATGGCATTTTGTTATGGGGCACATACATAGGTTTAAGAAAACTATTAAAGAACATCTGTGCAATAAAGCTTACTATAAAGTCAATGATTATCTAGAAGATTGCACAAAGTGGGAATGAGTTGCTCGCTCCAGGCATTTCAATATTGTAGTAATTGTTACGTTATAATATTCAGTGTAAAAAATTCATATTTAAAAAAAATCTAATATTAAAAAATAAATAAATAATATTTTAATTGTAAAAAAAAAAGACATGCCCGCTGAGTTTCTTGCCAATTCTTCTCAGGACGGAGGCTAGTTCTTGTGAATTGGCGGTAGTTCTTTTGACGTTCAACAAGTATGTACTTTCATTTATGTTGAATAAAAATTTTTTGATTTGATTTGATTTGAATGTATGGTAGGATATTACTGATTAGCATAGATCTTCCCGTTCCATTGAATAACAGATCGCAAGATTCTCTGCATATCGAAGACACAACAATAGATTTAGTTTTAAGCTTATATTGTCATTGGGAATCCACAGCATGACCATATATCATAATGAAATAGTAATGATTTATCGAATTCACACACATATGCAAACCAAGGCCTTAGGATCACCAGTAACCCTTCCTACCTAAAAATGAAACACATATATAAATTTGAAGTAATTAAACATTAAGTAAAACTATCAACAATAGGTCAGTCTACAATAAAAATATAAACCGAATCCTTTCACACGAGCATAAAAAAGGTACCGGCGCCAAACCGATTATAGAAACCGATAAATCTTAAGGATTTTTGAACAACAAACTTCAACGTTCGAAGCATTTATCGATTTTTACAGTCCGTTCATGCATGAAAACAAACACCGCTCAGTACGCCACAAGAAGTCATCAGCATTTCGCTGAAGCTGAAAATTTTGCAGGGAAATTCATGTGTGACCCTGTTTGCATATGCATACGCTGTTGAACAAAATCACGAAAAATGCTTGCAATCTTCAGAGGTTTTCCAAAAGGAAAATGTTTTTTAAACATTCCGGTGAAGCAAGTGTTCTATGTAATACTCAGAAAACTGATTGGTTTTGCAAAGCTATTCTTCTACCGAACAACTTTTTAACTTAAGAACAGTTATTTATTTGTAGTAAAATACACTATAGCTATCAACTTAAAGTGTACTAGGCTGTTTGATCTGACTTAGGATTTAAGATATTACATAAAAGCAACTTGTAACTGAGATTAATAGTAGTACTCTTGTAACTTTTTTTTATTGCTTAGATGGGTGGACGAGCTCACAGCCCACCTGGTGCTAAGTGGTTACTGGAGCCCAAAGACATTTACAACGTAAATGTGCCACCCACCTTGAGATATAAATTGTAAGGTCTCAGTATAGTTACAACGGCTGCCCCGCCCTTCAAGCCGAAACGCATTACTGCTTCACGGCAGAAATAGGCGCGGTGGTGGTACTTACCCGTGAGGACTCACATGAGGTCCTACTAATTCACAAATCGTTCGCAAAACTTTTTCGAAAATATCCTTAATGCTTCTTTTTGCTTGCTCTATGATTCTACAAAAGCTCAGAAATATAAAATTTGTTTTTGTAGTTTTAATGAGCACAATACATTTTTGTTGAATATGTTATTGATTTTTGTTGTGTGTACAATTTCCAATTCAAAAACTATAAATCAGTTTTAAAATAAACATAAAAAATTCTGTACACAAAGTTTTACCAAAATCGGTAAACGGTTTTTGCCTGAAACTTGAATGAACAAACAAAAAATAAAACAGGCGTCAGCTTCATCTAAGCATCTTAATGCTGTGATGTTTTTCATGACATACTTGAATTGCAATAACTGCTTTATAGACACGCTACGCGCTATAGGCTATGACATTTTACTGGTAGTAGGACCTCTTGGGAGTCCACGCGTGTAAGTACCACCACTCTGCCTGTTTCTGCCGTGAAGCAGTAATGCGTTGCGGTTTGAAGGGTGGGGCAGCCGTTGTAACTATACTTGAGACCTTAGAATTTATATCTCAAGGTGGGCGGCGCATTTACGTTGTAGATCTCTATGGGCTCCAGTAACCATTTAACACCAGCTGGGCTGTGAGCTCGTCCACCCATCTAAGCAATAAAAAAAATAAAAAAAACATGTTCTTCTTCAAACGAGGCTTGTGAAGAGTATTAAGCTACATAGATCGTATCTTAAATATGCCCAATTATGTCACTACTTAAACGTAGAAAACTAGCCAAAACGATACACTCCAACGCCCGTAACTGTAAACCATTTACACAATGCCACCAGGAAATTCATAGCAGCATTACAAAGGAAGTAATTTCGAGTTACGAGAGCCACGCTAGGCCCGAGCCGAATACCTGATGAAGGGCCCCGTACAAAACAATTTAGGGGCCAGCGGAACCAACAACTTTGGAAGCGGCTAGCTTTGTTTTTCCGTGTTAGTTGAAATGGCCTTTAAAAGTTTAGCTCGGAGAAGTTTCGCACGTGTAATGTGGGGATATTGTTCCGGATAAAGTCTATACGTAATTGCTAAGGAAATGTTTGCATGTTTTTTTCGTATGTGCATATTGAATGTTAATTAATTTTGAAGACAACAAAAACTTTAATTGGACCTTTGAATGAATGTCGCCCGCTGACTTAAGACAAGAGATTGAATTTTGAATTACATTTGAAACATTTGCTACTAAAATAACGCATAAATTCAAAATATTGCTTTGTGCGGGATTAGAAAAAGCTAATCCTTGCAGACTCTGCAGATTTTTTTACTTTTGACCCTTGAAATATGTTCATAAGAGCTTACATAATTTATGAAATAGAAGACGACTGGCTTTAAGCCAATCGCATATCTAAAAGCTTATGTATTTTTAAATACACTTTTCATTTACGGAAATAATAAAAAATTCAGTGAATCCAACTTCTATGTGTAAATATTAGTATTAACAAAGCACGATACATATGTGATGCATTCACCCGACTGGGTTCATATGATACTTCAATATCCGAAACATAAAACACGGCACTTCGACTGAAGCGGTAATGGTGCGGACGCAAAGTTAAAACTGCAGGTACGGCCGGCTAAAACGATGAGTGCCGTAAAACGGCTCTGCTAACATACAGTAAAAGTTTGTTGTGCACCAAAACATTGCATTAAATATTGTATACGCGTCAAGAAATAAAAAACACGTGTAGCACTCGGCGACTGCTGCGGTAAAGCTATTGCATAGCATTTTTTATCAACTTATGCAATTGTAATTAGACAATAATAATTTAATATTAAAACAATAATAAAATAAGACCATGCTATATTTATAAATATTAACAAAAGCAAAACATCAACTGTCCCTTTCATACTCATAAGCTAGACCGCGCGAAAGAGAGATGGGCAGACTTTTCATGATGGGCATCACTGCATGCGACGTCACGCCGCGCGCTTATTCACAAACACTACACAAGCGCAACGTGTGAATGTGTTGAACGCGAGCTACATGGTAGGCAGAGTGGGGGTGTTAGGTTTTATTTTCGTTACGGAATTTCTTGATTCGGTCGCCGCGCTCAAAGCATGCGATAAAAGCTATGCAATAGTTTAAAAACGTTTATCATTTATAATCTTTAAAACTCTTTAGTTTTAAAAAATATTTTTATTAGACGCAATTACTCACCTGTCTGTCATTGAATGAAACGAGAATTCAGTTTTGTATAGTTTAATAATGCTGTTTAAAATATTAATTTTAAAAGAAATTGTGGGCTTTAAATTTCTTTCTTATTATATCACTGAAAACGCAATTAAGTATTTTATTGTTTATTCATTGTGAAGTATTCCATATCATTATATGCGTAGTTTAATATAATGTAGATTCTGATTCAAACGTACACTAGACGATATTAATTCACTGTGTGCGAAATACATAAAATACAGGATGGATTCGATTAAATTATAAAAACATCAATGATGGATGTTCACGCGTCAATAACAATTAAATTTTATATAATTTTAACACCACTGACGAATTAAATTGTAAGTTTTTGATTTATAATTCTGTAGAGACTGATAAATTAAACAAGCAACAGTTATTAATGTATATATTTTTTTATAACGTAATGCTACCCAATCCTAGCTTAACAAAAGAATACGTATCTTATGTATTTATCTTGCAAATAACTTCCATACTATTCAATTTAATTATATCAACGGCCGTCTGGTGTAGTGGTAAGTGACATGGTCACTACACAAGGAGGTCGTGGGTTCGAATCCCGCCAAGGGAAGATATTTGTATGATAAATATAAATGTCTTTTCCAGGGTTATGGATGTATATTAAATATATGTATGTGTATATTAAAAAAATCTTACATTTCCGTTATCTGGTACCTGTAACACAAGTTCTTTACGAACTTATCACGGGACCAGTTAACGTGGCGTGATTGTTAGTAAATATTTATTTATTTATTTATTATCCGAACTTTCAGCAAACAATGCAATCACAGGTTTATTATCTTGAAATAATTCAATTCAAAATGAGTCATTCACTACGCAAAATAAAGCAGTATTTACATTGTTATGAGAGAGCCCTTTTTTTTTTTTTTGTCAGGAGGNAAAAAAAAAAAAAAAAAAAAAAAAAAAAAAAAAAAAAAAAAAAAAAAAAGACGAAGTGTGCTTTTGAGCAACACGACAAGCCGTTGAAAATGGTAATGGGTTATTGAACACCTGCGCACTTTGAGCCTGAGGGTGATTTGAGGAAACTTAAAAACAAGTAAATTTAGTGTTTATCTTCTTCGACACAAGCTTTTCACTCAAGGCAGGCATGGGATTCATTCGAGTGGCTGTGGCTCGCTGCTATTCAAAGGGCTATTGATTGTATTAATAACAAAGAGAACTTGCCTTATAGTAAAATAATACCGTACTGCATTAAATATAATTATTACGCTATAAACTTCACAAAGCTTTTTATATTACGTTAAATATGTAATAAAAATGAGACTCTCATCCATTTACTTTTTCGTTTTTATTCCATCAGTCTCAAAATATATATTATGTACATACATCTTGTTTTAATACAATACATAGAATTCATTCTTCATTATTTTTTTATTATTTTTATTGCTTAGATGTGTGGACGAACTCACAGCCCACCTGGTGTTAAGTGGTTACTGGAGCCCATAGACATCTACAACGTAAATGCGCCACACACCTTGAGATATAAGTTGTAAGGTCTCAGTATAGTTACAACGGCTGCCCCACCGTTCAAACCGAAACGCATTACTGCTTCACGGCAGAAATAGGCGGGGCGGTGGTGCCTACCCGTACGGACTCACAAGTGGTCCTACCGCCAGTACCAGTGCCATCTTATCGTTTCTTGTTCGTAGAAAACATTGTAAAACCTGCGCCTGTCAACTTCAGTCTAATCAAAATCAAAAACTCATAAGAAAAATCTCAATTAAAAAAAATTAATAGCACAACATCTCTGATACTCAAATAGCTCACTAAATACTCGATACATTTAAACGATATCTGGCGATATGTTTAAACACTTTTAAACAACTCATGAGTTTTTCAAATGTTCAACAAGATTACGTTAAAACAAAATTTGATCTTTCTCTCGAGTTTATGGTCTTGTTGAACTATAAGAATCAAGTTTATGACGACATATTATTAAATGGATAGACGACAATGTAAGGAGAGAAAATAAGTATTGTCTGGATTTAATTTTTTTTTTTTTTTTGCTTAGATGGCTGGACGAGCTCACAGCCCACTTGGTGTTAAGTGGTTACTGGAGCCCATAGACATTTACAACGCAAATGCGCCACCCACCTTGAAATTATCCTATTATTCGGATTCGTGGAAATTTTCGTGGTCACGGACGCCTAAGGATGTTTGTTAAACGTCAACATCTGACTGATGTACCGTCTAATATTATACATAATATAATCTATACTAATATATAAATCTACAGTGGTTTTTACGGATGTTCCGTTATAACTACTGAACCATGCATCCGATTGACTTGAAACTTGGTATCCATGTAGAAAATACATAATATACTTAATGGATAGGCTAATATTTATATGAGTGTTGGACTCCCTAATAATAATGACAATAAATAATAATGTTAATTTTAAAGTACGGTTAGTTAACCTCTAAAATCAGTTTTAATTCTAGTATGTCTACGAAGGACTTATTCTACAAAAATACAAAGTTACATTGCCTTTCATGTTGTGTATAAACACGAAAGAGGTAGGTATCTATTTTTAAAATTACTTTACACTTCATAATTATAGCTGAGAAAATATATTGGTACATGAAATAAAATGAAATTATTGTTACACGGTACCTTCACGATACCTAATGTCTTTGTACGTGCCCATTGCAGCTTGGTATAGATTAAGAAGGTGTCGCTTCTAAGGACTTAATATATCGACATTGTAAAAATTACCATGCTGTATATAAATTCACATTAAAATATACCTATATATTTTTATAGACATCATTTATAATCTGTAGTTCACGTTTGACATTGCTATTAATTCTATCTAATCCGTTTATGGGTGTAACAACGGAATATATATCATTGTCGGTTCGTAGCGGCAAGGAAAATTAAAAGGGCCCGGGTTCGGCGTTATTACGACCCTCGCGCCTTCTGTCCCTGCTATTAATCTTTATTAGTTCGCTCTTTTGTCGGGTACATCGAGATTGCTGTCGAATATTTTGTGTTAGCTTACAGTAAACCGTATATTTGAATAAGGGTGACAAAGAATCGTGACTTTAACATAATTGTAATGTTCAGACGGATGTTATATGAAATGTCGTCGAGGTCTAAAGATAAGACGTCTGGTGCATTCGTGTTGAGCGATGCACCGGTGTTCGAATCCGAGGCAGATACCAATTTTTCTGATGAAATACGTACACAACTGACTTCCACGGTGAAGGAATAACATCGTGTAATAAAAATGAAACCCGCAAATTTTAGTTTGCGTAATTACTGGTGGCAGAGGACCTCTTGTGAGTCCGCGCGGGTAGGTACCACCACCATGCCTATATCTGCCGTCAAGCAGTAATGCGTTTCGGTTTGAAGGACGTGGCAGCCGTTGTAACTATACTTGAGATCTTAGAACTTATGTCTCAAGGTGGGTGGCGCATTTACGTCGTAGATGTCTATGGGCTCCAGTAACCACTTAACACCAGGTGGAGCTGTGAGCTCGTCCACCCATCTAACTATTAGTAAAAATATGAAATGCCTTAGCGGTCTTAGTGCATATAACAGAAGTTCATAAGTGAACCTCGGAATGGGGTTGCTTAAATATCCAACCTTCCACGGGACTCGGTATTCGTTTATAAAAGATTCCTAGGTACGCTCGCGGCCTTTGAGCAGACAATTTTGGAAGTAGGTAAAAATACTAGCCTAATTTATTTTCGTGCCAACGTTGTTTTCCTCTGTTTTTCTTTTCTAATTTACCCATAAAACGTCGCCCTTTCAGACCTCTCGGTTGAATTGGATTGCGTTTGAATTTATAATGTCTTCGTTAATGACATACAATTCGTGTTGTCACTAATAAACAGATAATTTTTATAAAAATGTAAACGTAGAAATTTCACGTGTTTATTTTGCTGGTGTAGCCTTTTTAAAATAACTAGTGGTTGCCAAGTAGTCGAAATTCGACTATAATTATTGATTTAAATTATAGCTTTGAGCATTATTATAGTTCTATTGTCAAGGACTATACTTCTATAATCACAGATTTCGCCAAGGCTATTATAGATAAATAATATTAATCTATTCTCAATTTGACCACAGAGTTCGTAAACAAAAGAGTATATGCGTGTGTGTGTGTGTGTGTCAAATACATGGTAGTGTGTGTCATGTTTTTTTTTAATATATAATTTAAAATATTTTAGCATTTGCATTCTATAGAAAATTCCATAATCCTCCGTCCGCGCAATTTTTGTAAAAAAGGCTACAAAATGTTTGCTTCATGTATTAATATATAGCTTACCGGAGCTCATGGGCATCACAATGTCAACGCCGCCACACACCCCGAGATTTGAGGTCGAAGTCTCAATTATATTGAATAACGGACGTCTCACTCTTCGAACTGGAACGCACGACTTAAGACTCCCGGCAGAAAAGAGCAGGACGGTGGTACCTACCCGTATGGTCTTACAACGCACATAGTAAAATAATATATTTATATGGACCATCATTTAGTAGTCAATTAAAAATAAAGTAAGCTTACGAAAAAAATTACAAAGATATACTCGTAGTAATAGCGACCGTATTCAAACATAGGTATACTTGAGCTATTTCGTCTTTTCAGTATTCTCCAAAGGACAATGCGAGACTGGACAGTACCGTTTCCTGGCGAAATCGGGTGGTTACTCTTGGGTCCAAACTCAAGCCACCGTGATCACCGACAAGCAGCAGAAACCTATCAGCGTCGTCTGTGTCAACTACATCATAAGGTAGGCCTAGGCTTAAGTTGTTTTAGACTTATTGATAAAATTGTGTTTTTCTTCAGTAATGCACTGTTATTTAAAGATTCATGAAGAGAATTGTGTAAAGTAAATGTAAGGTAAGTAAACTCCATTTTATTAACTTTATCCATTGATTTTATTAAATTCGGTCTACTGCCATAATAAATAATTATGAGCGTTCGTGTGAATATTTACATGCAATATTCGTCTAAGTTACATCGTGAAGCCTCTTCATAACGCACCCACTTGCCTCGCATCACACCCTTAATGACTTAAACATAGTGCTTCTTTCGGCTTAATTCCGTTAATTAATATTAGGCGTGTCAAGTGAGCCTCGTGTGTTACTCTTTCAAGCTTACTATTGTAAATTAGGGGAGGCGTATGTCCAGCAGTGGCCGACTGTGGACTGATATCAAGCAAGTAACAAAATTCTTGTTTCTAACTATATTTTATCGGACTAAAAAGGATTTAAATTTAACAAAACAAATAGAGTAAAAGATTAGTGGATTAGTTTTTTTTTTTTAATTCAACAGTTCTTTGTGCTGCTCGAACTGAGGTGGTTCAGCATTAACATCATTATTGACTTCCTGATGTCCCCCCTAGTATCACGATCACGTACTTCCAAGTAACCGTCTCGGCTATTAAACTATCGTAACTGTAGAAGAATATTGAAAACCGGCCCCTGCGCCCATTTCCACAAGGCCTATTGTCGCTCGGTTATCGCTAATTTTAGTCACTAAATATTATTTGTAATAGCTTACCTTGTAATAATGATCTACACCTGCGTGTTCTACGTTTTATCACACAGACAGTCACCTTGGCAAGCGGTTAAACCGCCAGTATTGTTTGCCAAAACCTTTTATCCACGCTTTTTCTTGCTGTACGATATCTATGTAAATATATTTAGAGTCCATAATGTACACACCATTACTCATCTTATTTAGTTTGAGCAACACGTTTCTTACGATTATTTTCATAAGCATTTAACACTAAATTTGCAACTTTTGAAATCCAGTTTTCCTTTTGTCTCAAAATACCACACAAACTAGAGACCGCTTGATTAACTGAAGGATTATCCATATTTTCATATGTGTATACACAAACCTGGTTAAGTGAGAACTGGATAAGTGAGAAAACTCTTTAAGTGAGAGTAATAGCCAGGACCCGTCATTTTAAGCTCCTAAAACCTCTATTAGAGAGAAACAGAAACCTCTGTAAGAGAGAGTCGTTTTTCCCTTATGGACCTCCGTAAGTGAGACTGCTACTTATCTATACCTCTATAAGCGACAGTCGAGCTTTATTTATTTATTTTATTTAAGAGGAACGAGTGAAAAAACAAATTACAAATTTAACATCTGTTATTTTATGACTAATTCTTAACTTTTGTGAAACTTCCTACCATTGTTTTTGAATTGTTTTCTCGTCAATATTGAACCTATTCTATTTCGTGGAACTAAATAACGTTGTTATTTTATCGCATTCTTTTCGAATGGAAACGTGTGCCTGTGTACCGTCCTGTTTGTCGAACTTACTCAGTTTATCGTTAATCAATTGCGAAGAAAAGTTCTGTTCTGCATCATGTCAAAACGGAAAATTAAAGTACTGTCATTAAGTGATAAACTCAAAATAGTGAATGCGTTTGAATCCGGAAAATCGCGAAATGAAATTCAGAGGGAGCATTAGCGAGAAACTCGGGTTAATGAGAAACCTCTATAAGCGAGAATGAGATTGTACTCCCTTGAACTCTCGCTTATCCAGGTTTCACTGTATTACGGTGATCGATTAAAGACCTAGTGGATAATGAGCTCAAGTTCAATTAAGTAAAACACAACTTACAAACTCCACTAGAAATTGATTACTAAATGACAGTTTTCTATCGTAATTTTAATACTTTCTCACATAGCAGAAAAGGGGATCAGACATTAAAAAAAATCTTATCATTGCGACCAAGAATTTTAACTGCGCATAGCTTGTATAAAATTATTTTTAAAGCTAAATGAATGTTTTACGATCAAAACAATTTTCAATTAAATTTTCAATTTTGTACTAAACCATAATGAAGTTTTATTCAATCTGTGTAACTCAATTTGGTCAGAACTGAAAGAAAAGTTTTATTGGAAACCGCCTTTACATCAATCGTTAATCTAAACAATTTGAAGATATCTGATTATTTTAGCAAGGGGGAGCCATAATCTGTTCTAAGCATTGTTGACATTCCAATCCGAATCCTTTTGTGGCACAATCGTCTCTTCTATCTTCAATGGTCGATCCTTTTTCCTCTTCAGCTGTAACGTAAATCCTATTACTTTTATGTCTCCCAATACGACCTTTAGCAGTTAAATCGAAGTTTTCCAAGGCCATGATCAACGTTTGTAGGCTTTCACTACCCTTAGTAACAGTGATTTTATAGACTATTGTCTTACGTAATGGTTGCACGTTTTTTGTATTCAAACTATTTTTAAAAGGGAAATAAATAAATATGAAACAGCAGGACAGTCTCAAACACATCTACTAAAATTATAGGTAACATTAAAAAACAAAAGTTTATTTGAAACATCAGTGAGGGTTAAATTTTATAGAAACCTAATATAAACCATTGTTTATATTAAGCTTACATCAAGATACAAGTAGAAGTTCAAAAACAAACAAAAAAATGATTTTGAAAACGAAGCCACAATAGCGTTTGGAAAACCTCACATTTTACTGAACAAGACGATTCAATAATATAACCATGAACCCCAAAAGGTAATCGTCGAAATAGCAATGGGGTCATCCAGTGGTATGGCGACAGCACAATCGTATCAACCCATTTACTGGGCCCCGAAACCAAACTATTTATAGTCTTGACAACTTCATTCGTTGAATAAAATCTGCACTTCCGACTTACCGCTGTATTCTTCTGACGTACTTTCGACCATAGGCTTGGATACCGAAGAACCAAATCATTGGATTTCGTCAAGAAATATCGCTAGTGCTGTGCTTCGTATTAAATTTGACACATTTAACTTGGAAATATTTGAAAATGCTTCGAAGGATAAAATTAAACGTATAATAACAATTAGCACTCACATGCCAGCGTGCTATTTCTATGGAAGGATAAAATAACTTTGCATAAACAAATCCGTGAAGAGATACAGTAAGAATGTTTTTTTACATTGCTTCTCATTGTGTGAATGACGTAACTTCCTAGTATGATTGCTGTACTAATATAGACTTTATTAACATTACTGAGTGATAACCCATTTGACACTTCAGATCATGGTGTTAATGGAGTGGCTATATAAATTTAAGGTCAGTACATCAAAAAACGTCTATTCGTTATCAATATTCAGTAAGGATGTACGCGAAAATCGTTGTGATTTCTGTGGCTTTCCTACAATTAGCTTCCATTGCGGAATCTAATGATATAAGATTAGGAATAGATACACCGCGTTCAAGAAAAATATACAGTGAAATCAAAGAAGCAGATCCGGCATTGTGGAAAAGAACAGACGATATAATAATAAATGCTCCTAACAATGAGCTGATAACTGCTGTTTACATTACAGACTTGAGGGAATATAAAGACGGTGAGGCATTTATCGAAAGTGGTGGTGTCGGACAAAAAAGTGTCACTATTGGCTTGAAGAGTCCAACTATATTAAGAGGATACAAGTTCGAAATTGAAGTGTACGCCAGTGACCCTAACGCTGGATATTTTAGTAAAGGCTATGCGCCTTACCTTCAGGAAACTCAGTATGCAAGAAAGTTTTAATAGATTACTGTTTGTAATTTCTCATTCCGTTATTAGGGCAACCCGTCATATCTCTTTAAAACATTAGTCCTTAATTTAATATTGTGCTTGGTTCTCTTGTATGTCACCGTGGATAATGTTCTTTAAATTAACCATTATTATGGTTTCTTCTCAGTCGTGTCACTCTTGACAGAGTGGTCGTGATCGTCATGTAGTGTTGGAAGGGGCAGACTTGATGCATCTCACGATGTCACGCCATCTCTCCCTGCTCGAGGCCATTCTACTGCACTCATTTAGGGGACCTCCCACTGCAGTTTTAATTTGGTCGGTCCACCGCATTGGTGGCCTCCCGCGCGGTCTTGTACCATCAACGCTTCCCTGTACAAAGAAGCGTTCTATGGACCGGCCATCTCGTCGCGAAACGTGTTCGAAGAATTATGGTTTATATATAGAAAAATTCACGCCGATCGTATAATAAAACTCTTTAAAAAATACTGATATTCTTTATTATTGCATCTGTTTCTTGATAAGATATTTTTTACATGGAAATTATTGGTTTAACATGCCATAACATTGTTTCTGTAAAGTTCCGTTTTATTGGAATGTATCTTGCATCGAATTTGATTCCTACATAAGGTGAGGTATAATCTAATTACTAATCCCTATAACACTATCGCTTGACTTAGCTTTTAGTTCACCAAATCCTGTTATAAACACAGGTTTCCCAATTTTACAATGTCCCTTGTTTCATCATATTTCGACCCGTATATATTTCGCTTGGCTCTCTGTGGCCCTAATGTGAAGAATATGATTATCTGTTCAATTTTTAATAAGAATATTCATGTTATTTTCTTTCATTCAAAGCTATATTAAGTACACCTCCAAATCGATGGTTCAATTTGAACGTGCTTGTAATAAGTAAAAAAAAAAACCTTTACAGAGTGTATTTTTACTCTAGCTTACTCGTTTACCTCTAAAAATAAATTGAATAAAAAAAAATTAGATATTAGATAGAATTTCAGTAAATAAAAAAATACGTTTTAAGAACACGAAACATGTTTAATCAGATTAAGCAGGCTTCGTTTTAAATTTACAAACTTTTTATATTCGACAAATTTCGACAACTTTAGTTTTTAGGTTTCCCCAAAACGAAATATGATGTTATTTGTATATTTAAGTATGTACAATTATTTACATTTACGCCAATCAATCAATAAATATTTAACTTTTGAAATCCAATTTGCCTTTTGTTTTAAAATACCATAAAAACTAGAGATCGCTTGATTAACTGAAGGATGATCCATATTTTTATATTACGGTAATCGACCTAGTGGATAATGAGCTCAAGTTCAATTACGTAAAATACAACTTACGAACTCCACTAGAAATTGATTACTAAATGGACAGTTTTCTATCGTAATTTTGATACTTTCTCAAATAGCAGAAAAAGGTATCAAACTTTAAAAAAAAAATCTTATCATTGCGACCATGAATTTTAACTGCGCTCAGCTTGTTTTATAATTATTTTTAAAGCTAAAATAAGGTTTTACGATCAAAACCGTATTCAATTAAATTTTCAATTTTGTACATAAAAAAACGTCTGTTCGTTATCAACGTTCAGTAAGGATGTACGCTAAAATCGTTGTGATTTCTGTGGCTCTCCTACAATTAGCTTCCATCGTGGAATCTAATGATATAAGATTAGGAATAATAGATACACCACGGTCAAGAAAGATATACAGTGAAATCGTAGAAGCAGTTCCGGGATTGTCGAAAAGAAGACCAAATATAAAAATAAATGCTCCTCACTCTGGGCTGATAACTGCTGTTTACATTACAGACTTGAGGGAATATAAAGACGGTGAGGCATTTATCACAAGTGGTGGGGTAGGACAAAAAAGTGTTACTATTGGCTTGAAGACTCCAACTATATTAAGAGGATACAAGTTCCAAATTGAAGTGTACGCCACTGATCCAAACGCTGGGTAGTTTAGTAAAAGTTATGCGCCTTACCTTCAATAAACTCAGTATGCAAGAAAGTTTTAATAGAGTACTGTTTGTAATTTCTCAATCCGTTATTAGGGCAACCCCTCATATCTCTTTAAAACATTAGTCCTTAATTTAATATTGTGTTTGGTTCTCTTGTATGTCACCGTGGACAATGTTCTTTATATTAACCATTATTATGGTTTATATATAGAAAAATTCACGCCGATCGTATAATAAAACTCTTTAAAAAATACTGATATTCTTTATTATTGCATCTGTTTCTTGATAAGATATTTTTTACATGGAACTTATTGATTTAACATGCCATAACATTGTGCTTCCGTAAAGTTCCGTTTTAGTGGAATGTATCTTGCATTGAATTTGATTCCTACATAAGGTGAGGTATAATCCAATTACTAATCCCTATAACACTATCGCTTGACTTAGCTTTTAGTTCACCAAATCCTGTTATAAACACAGTTAGGTTTCCCAATTTTACAATATCCCTTGTTTCATCATATTTCGACCCGTATATATTTCGCTTGGCTCTCTGTGGCCCTAATGTGAAGAATATGATTATCTGTTTAATTTTTTATAAGAAGAATATTCATGTTATTTTCTTTCATTCAAAGCGATATTAAGTACACCTCCAAATCGATGGTTCAATTTGAACGTGCTTGTAATAAGTAAAAAAAAAACTTTACAGAGTGTATTTTTACTCTAGCTTACTCGTTTGGTTACCTCTAAAAATAAATTGAATAAAAAAAAATTAGATATCAGATAGAATTTCAGTAAATAAAAAAATAAGGTTTAAGAAAACGAAACACATTTTTAATCAGATCAAACAGGCTTCGTTTTAAATTTACAAACTTTTATATTCGAGAAATTTCGACAATTTTAGTTTTTTGTTTTCCCCAAAACGAAATATAATGTTATTTGTATATTTAAGTACTACATTTAATTACATTTACGCCAATCGCCTCTGTATAAATCATTTCATATCCTTTCATTGAACTGGTTCAGTGTCCACGCCACATGTGAATGTATGTCAGTGCGGTTATGTTAAAGTGAAGGATATATTTATATCGTGATCTATAATCAGCAAATTATTTATTCACAGTCATGAAATGACATGTAAATAGTGCATTATGATTGAATAAATTAAATTTGTCGACCGTCGAAGTGCTACTGAATACCAGAGTCGGATAATTCGATCTTATGTGACAATTGTTTTAACCACAATATTACGCATACGGTGACTTTTACCACATTATTTCCGAATCAAACAGCTGCATTGGCTCTTAATTACATACCCAATCCATACTACCGGGCAACACACAGCCGTCGTCGCCCAAAACACGTCAATTCGGATCCTCCCGATCGACTCGGTGCTTTCCTAAGCACCGTTCTCGTCGCCGTGAATGTTCGAAGAGTGCGTCCCATAGACATAACCCATTAAGTTTCATGCTGAACCTTGACAGTGGGTCGCGATTCCGATCGGCTGGTCGATTCTGCGAAGTATTGCTCTTGCCAGAGCAGATGTAAACAAATTCCTCCAAGTTGAGCCCCGTGAAAACGACTGCCAACCCGGAGAACTTGGAATTCCCCTTCGAGGCTAGCAGGGATTAGGTAGTAAATAAATCACTTTCTACATATCAAAGGATATCAAACCTGCCGCTACTCCATTCGTTTACAAATTAATTCTAATATATTGCAACTATCGGAAACGGTTATACAGTCGGTGGTACAGATAATGTGACCAGTAGAGATTTATTTTCACGCTACATGTAGGTCAATGCGAGGAACGACCATGTACTTTTTGTATGTATGTATAATGCACGTGGGGCCACGCCTCGTTTTGTTTATAATTAGAACTAAAATCGTGTCTTGGTCGATTTAGTTCTTGAACAGTTTTACTGTTTTGTATCGTATCAATATTTAATAAATCGAAATGGCCGTATTCAGATTATGGCAAATTTTCTGATATTTAATATGATAAATTATATTTTTGAAAAAAACAAAAAAACATTTCTACTTTATTATTGAGTAGCTCTTTTCTTCCATCTAAATTCAGGATGTGCTGTAAATACTACTGTCAATCACACCACAGTGTAATAACAGTGGATCCACATTTACATATACATTTTATCTAACCTAAAAAATTTATTTAGATATGAAACTCATAACATAACAAAATAACAAGTATCTACAGAGAAGCAATCTACAAGGAAGCGGTAAACGCATTATTGCAAGTAATGTTTTAGTCGTAAAACTATTGAAGAGATTCATCTGGTACGCGACAATAAAAAGGTGATCCATTACCGGAATGAATAAATTTGAATCGGTTGGCGTCTTGTAACGACTATTGCGCACTATTATTGTAATATTGAAATGAATCTTATCCCGTACATAAGTAGTTGAGTTAAGTGGGTTTTACTGGTGGTAAGACGTCTTGTGTGTGACGTCCGCACGGGTAGGTACAGTAATGCGTTTCGGTTTGAAGGATGGGGCAGTTGTTGTACTGTAAAAACTGAGACCCTAGAACTCATATCTCAATGTAGGTGATGGCATGCACGTTGTACATATCTATGGGCTCGGGTAACCACTTTACATCAGGTAGGCCGTGAGGCTCGTCCACCGACCTAAAAAATAAAAAAAAGTTGATCGTTTCCTATATTCCGGAACGTACTTCTCAGAACCTTTTTAATCATAATTAAGTTTCCTCTGAAAGATTCATCTTAAAATGGTCCCTTTACGGTCATTTTCATCCCAAGGGCATTTCAATGACTAATAAAAATTGCCGGGTCACTAAATTCGATTTAAAATAACTAGTGTAGGTACTTTCGTTTCGTGTCCTAAATGTTTCAAATACAAATATTGTTTGTTGTAAAATTTCATCCAATCCAACCGTACATTACATCCTAAATTTCACGTTGGCATGGTCGTTGGACGCTTTATGGAGGAGGGAGAATGCAAACCACCCCCCGAGGTCGTTGTACTCGCCTTCCTACTACCGACTCGTCTAGAATGCTGCAGTTTGTATAAACCATGAATGAGACGCGTGGGCTTGATACACTCAGCGCCTTGAAATCTAGGATACCACTTTTTAAATTACAAAAAGCTTCATACAGCTGTCTTCTATTTTATATCTGGCAATAATCTAAAGTGCAATTTCAAAAAGTTTATTATTCTTTCTATAAATAAGCCGGCCGCATTACATTTATCAATTTTCTTCTACCATAAGTTTCTATGATGTGTGTTTTCCTTTAGGAGTGACCGAGAGCTTATCAATAGTAATTACCTTCTACCGAGCGGATGTCGAAACTTGTTCATATGCAAAATATAAAATAATGTTGACGTTTTTCGCATTTTCGTTTAGTATATTCTATTCTGTAACAGCTACCAGCTACCACTGCATGTTTATCGATATGGTGTGGTGCTCGCACTGCAATGCTGTATACACAAACGGGTTCACGTTTTCCGTAACATTGGACCGGTTCTACTCTAGACTAGTTTTTCGTCTACCCACTGTGGAAACAAGTTGTAAATTGAGTATTTGTTAATTATATTGCTGACGTGCAGTAAATTTGATTCCACAATCACATGATGTTATTTATTTAGTTTCTTAAGTCTTATACTAAAAGGATTATTTTTGGTTAAAGAACTTACGGGCCACCGTTCGTTAACAAACACAGACAAAGTTTGTTTTTTCTTACCTATGCTGATAGCCTTGAGAAGCTATTTCAGCTTCGCCCTAACATGTAGGGTGAGCTCACGGGGCTCAAGTCGGAGTGTTACTAACACTGACCTTAGTAAAAGCAGTGCTTCGCAGCATCTACCACCAGATCGGAAACGCGACCTATGGGCGTCTATGGGTTAATTCGCTCGTCGAGCCCTTCGTCGTAAGCGACGGGTTCGACGAGGACGGTGACTGGAGCTTGTGGTACCCAAAAGCACCGTCAATGGATCGGGAGGATCCGTAATGACATGTTTTGGGCGACGTCGACTATTTATTATTCGGTCTACAGTATTAGGTATGTAATTCCCAGCGGCCGCGACAAGAGGGTTCTCATGTCTTGTCGCCTTCTCAAAGTGAGACAAGGTAATTGTAGTGTCTGTTAGCAGCAAACTATCAAATTAGATTCCAGGATTTCTTGCGCTCCACGACGATACCTATTCATGAGCGATCACATGCCTTTCCAGTATTCGCTGTTTGTATCATATACTTAATTATCATTTCACAAACACGGCGGTGTGTTTTTGTTTTCAATCGCCCCGTGTGCATAACGCCCAAACGTGCTTCGAAATAAATCATTCGTATTGATTATCGTCGGGTCGTCGACTTGTTTCATTGTTCGACGAGGTTCGACGATTTTGTAACGTGCCCAGTGAGAAAGCGGACTGCTTTATTTTTTCTTCGTTCGCGACACTCGTAACTGTACATTCAAAACTAATTGATATTATCGACGGCTCCCGTTTCAGTCTTGATTTCGTGTTCTTTGGAATGTAATTTATACGAGGATTTCATTTATTTTATTTATCGCATTGCCTGATTTATTTCCGCCTTTCCTTCACTGTCCTCGTATAGTTTCCGAACACTGTTTAACCATGTTATAATAGTATGTTTTTTATTGATTTCAGTTTACAAATTTTATTAAGTAAGAAATAAAAAAGGAAGAACAATTTTATTACTTCGTTAAATACGTTGATTTATCCACTTCAATAAAATGTCATTCAATGAACGGCTACGGAAGTACGTGCGCACCGTCACGTGCACATCGCTGGCTCAGCTTGAGTAGTGATGTCAAAGTGTTCATAAAATAACTGAAATTATTTTTGATCATAGGTTCAATTGGCTTGTTAGTTGGGGCTGTACCCTCCAAAACAGTAAAGCTGTTACACTCTATTGATAATGTACTTGCAGACGACGCATATCAGGGATTTAAGGATTAGTGAACTTCCATTGTATAACACAATATCATTGATAAAATTGTTGGTAAAATCTTGCCGATATCTAGTCAATTAATTTATGCATGAGTCCTACTACAATAAAATTGGAATGAAATCCCTCCTTCGGTGTTTCTATATTCCGGGACGTACTTCTCAGAACCTTTTTAATCATAATTAAGTTTCCTCTGTTCTCTTAAAGATCCATCTTAAAATCTCTTTCTTCAACGAAGTTTGCAGAGAATTTTGCAGTAGTCAGTGGCTTGGC